AATAAATAAATAAATAAGTAAAATTCTGACGCAATTAGTGAATAAATATGTTATTTTTTTATTAATATAATGAACTAGTTTTTAAACCCAAGATCAATATTTGTGTTATTAAAAAATTACAATTCGAAGTGTTCTGAACGATTAATAGAGAAAACACGTTATCGATAGCTGTTGGCATTTATGATAAAACTCCCACAAAGACACCTCCCGATATTTTAATGATGCTTTAAAGAAATAGTTCTAAAATACATAGCCAACTCCAGGTAAGGAATTAAAGTTTAAAAAATTTCGTTATATTTATAAGCTATTTTCTCCTTTCTTTTAACATTCCTTCGTGGTATAAAGGCAGGCGCGTATTGGAGAAGTCTAGGTTCGACTCCCGGCGAGGACATTGCACATTTTTCACGTCTTCTGCTTCAAAATAACCTAATGACGCTACACATTTACTGTTAAAATTAACTCTTAAGTACATGGTTATTTATTATAAACTTTTCTTAAAGAAATTTAATTTTGAAATTCTGTATGTATTCTTAAATTTAATTGTTACATATTGTTGACTATTAACAGTTATATATTTTCTCTCGGAAAATTAAATTGATTGCTATGCACGTGTTTAGAATTAATTACCGTGTTTCTTCTTAATTTCCTCCGCCACCCATAGTTAAGGAGGGAGGCTGAAGGGTAACATATGGCATTAATAAGGTAAATTATAAACATTTTAGTTATGATACATCTTGAATTAAAATGTAGAATATTGAAGTATTACATGCGATAATTTGTAATTATAAAATTACTTTATATATGCGCAATATATAATAAAATATAATGACTACGCTAAGAAATAATTGGCAACCTTAAAATTGGCTATTCTAAATTTGGTGTTCTTCCCCTAAATTCATCTGTTCTCCCAAATTCGAGATCTTTCTACGTTACATAACGCTGCTTGAAAAGAAGAACAAAACCTAAAGTTAACCAATCACAGCTGAGCTGTACTTACGCACCTACTTAGCATAAATACTGCTTCGCAAACAATTACGTTATTCCTTTTCCTAACTTCTGCCATGAAAATATTTCTACTCCTTTGCTATATCCTCCTTTGTTCTTTATCTAAGATGACGTAACGTGTATATAAAAACTATTGTAATTGCTTACGATCAAAAAGGGTATATTCTTATAAAGAAATTATTTTGATAGGCCTAAAAATAAAGATGGTGATACGCAGAAATTAGTTTTGTCAACGTCGTTTTTCCTACCTTTTCTTCTCAGCCATCACGACTGCACCTTAAAATATCACACACACATACATATATATGATACGTTATTAACTTAAAGGAACTATCATCTTAATTCATCTCTTTAATCTCAGTATTTGAATTAAAACTCAACTACAATTTTGGCCTTAACTAAAATTGCCAGTTTGATATCATTATTACTTGAGTAAAAGATGAAACACCTTCGCAATTCATAATTATTGTTAATTGAACGGGTTCTTTTTGTTCCCCTTGAAAAGTCAATTTCCGATCAATGATGATAATTACTTGGCTTATTGATTTTCATATTAAAAATTTTAATTTCTATTTTCATAATTCAAATTCAACTTCCTTTAAAAATGTTTTCGGGACTAAATTTTCATACATGTGGGGTACTTCATTTCGATACATTCTACTAAATTTATATTAGAAGGTAATATAATCAATTTTTCTTTAGTAAATAAATTATTATTATCTCACTTTGCAGCTATTGCGCAAGTATTAGGAAATTGATTTCGATTTCAATGAATTTCAGTTCATCAATTCAATATTTGATATATATACATATGCAAGCCTTATGTTTATGTATGTATGTATTTCGAACAATTTCGTGCCTGAAACTTCGTTACAAAAGCAAAATTTAATGCATGTTCTTTGTTCAGTTACACACGCCGTTTTGAGATATTACCGAAACAAAATTTATGTATTTGGTAAAAATGAATTTATTTGTAAATGATAAAAGTAATGTGGATTATTGACAAAAATTAAGGAAAGCAGTAACAACTCGCAAAGTCTCTTTGGAACATGCGAATTAGACTTTTAAAAGGACTCTTGAAGAATTATCTTGTAGCCTTGTGAAACAAAACAGAAATCGGAAGAATGGTGCATTTTATTCAAACCCAAAATTAACAAATGACCCAACTTGGGTTACAATGAGCTAAGCACTTTTGGCTTAACAGATATACGTAACGAACAACGATTTGCCTAACGGCTCCTAGAATACTTTAACGCGCAGAATGGGCTCTGGTCTGTAATAAACCGGCGAGACAAAGCCGAATGGCTAGAACACTCAGCGCCGCTAACGCAAGGTCGCTGACAATCGCAGCACAACGTGCGCTGAAATAGGCAAACACTCTCTAAAACTATCTTCAGAACCTCTTACCTAAATAGCACTTCATTCTACCTGAATCTGATTAAATTCTGAGTATCTCATTTACATTTTGGCATGAAAAGAGGATAATAGGAAACTTCTAGCTTAAAATGTACTATTAATTAAATAAATAAACCTCACAAAAACTTTGCAAGCTTTTTCTTGCACACATGTGTATGTTTCAAATCAATTATTCCCACTGCATTTCGATCGCAGCTGTAAACGGGTATTTGATGCAGGCATTGAGGTATCGCTTAAAACAGCAAACGTTTTTATCAGTTAATCAATCGCGACAAAAAACAGGGAAGTTTAAAAAAAATTGTATTGCTCATTGCTAATAATGCGTGAATAACTAAATAATCTGCCTGAATTGCATTATTTACAGCTGCAATTTATAAAGATTTTTTTTTAATTTATTAAAGTAGTTGTAGTTATAATAGCCTTAAAAATGATAATGAATTGAAAATCACATCTCTGAGCAATATATTTCCTGTTACTTTAATTTAATGTAATTTGTTTTATTATATTGTTTTATTCTATATGCTTCAATGTAATGTAATTTGCACCTAATTGATAAGAAAGTTATGGTAAGTTTGTAGAAACATTAGGTTATTTTGAAGCAGGAGATGTGACAAATGTGCAATGCCCTCGCCAGAACTCGAACCGGGACATCTCGAATACGCGCCGAGTGTGCTACCGTTACACCACGAAGACATGCAGAAGGGAGGAAAAAATACTTTATGTACTCCCCCCTTTTAAAGAGCAATTGAGGATTAGGGGGTCCAGTCGCGAAGAAAGAGAAGGAAGAAAGGGAAATTCTTCTTTGAAGGGAGAAAATACTGTTGCGTTATTTTTCTTTACTGACTACTATACACGCTAACACTATCAGCAACACAGCCTCTAGGTTATCAGGCTATCACGGTGGAGACAGCTTCCTACAAAGCACCCGAGCTCTCGACTCTACTTGGTCGTTCTCGGAACTCCACGTACTCTCGAGACTCTCCACGCTACAACCGATGCACTTTACGACACACGAGCACAGCTCCCGACTCTTCGATTCAGTCGTTTCCGGAGCTCAACACGCTCTCTCAACGATGCACTAACCGCGATACACTAGCATACCCCTTCGGTGCACTCGACGACCCATTCGGCACTCGCCGGTCGGCTGTCAACTCGATCATCGTCTCCGCACAGACTAACTAGATGAGACACTCTACGAGGCACACACACTCAATGATTGACTATCAGCTCGCTAGACGAGGCACACTCTCTGAGACACACTCGCTCAATGACTCACTATCAGCTCGCTAGAGGAGGCACACACACTGACTGCGGACCAGCAGGTTGATATAGCTTTCGGCTTGTGTTCGAGAACATTCTGGGATAAACCGGTAAGAATTCGTTCCAGAAGGTTTTCCATCCGTCCGTGGTATATCACCAATTTCGTCGCCAAATGGGCGATTTCTCGCCAAATGTGACAATTCCGCCTTCCCTAGCCATTTTATGGCAACCCTAAAACTGCTTTGCGAGGAAGCCATCTTACCGCGCCTTGACATTTCATAACAATACCTTGTATGCTTTCCCTTTTATAGGGCGACTAGGGATTGGGGATCCAAATCCTGGTAGTGAAGAATCATCATCCACCACCTTTTAGTTCGGGAGCCACTGTAGAGACATGAAGTTATTTTGAAGCAGGGTTTGTGAAAAATGAGCAATGCTATCACCAGGACTCTAAGCTAGATCTCTCTATTACGCGCCAAGTGTGCTACCGTTACACCACGAAGGAATGCGGAAAGAAGGGAGAAAATACATTAAAAGTTTCGGTTTTTACAAGGCACTTTTCCAGATATTTCTGAATGTAAAGGAAGCTTTTAAAATGTCACGATATTTTTAATTAAAATAATTAGTCCGAAGGGGCTTTGTCCATGAAGGACTATTGTTTTCGTTTTGTGATTTTGCGTCGAATTACTTTTCAAACTGTTGCCACCTAAGATTAGTGTCCTGCATTATATTTGAAGAAATTAAATAATGAAAAATCTGCATAAATGTATGTATAATTCTCGCATTGTGATAAAACAGCGGTACCTAGAGCCATGGAATTTTGAATGAAGTAATCATCCTGCGAATATGGTCATCTGAAAGTCCCAATTTGAAATTTGGAATTTGTTTTATGATCGATTTCATATTTTGTAAAACTTCAGCGAATATTTGATTAACAAACGAAGCGATTTAAAAGCGAGCAATGGTAACAATTCTACGGGGAGAGGGAAACTTTTTTATCTCCAGCGTGCAAGACTGTGTATCGGAAATTCTAAAGATACGCTCAATTTAAAATTATTTTGAGATATTGCTATTCAACTGAATTTTATGGTTTAAGTGCAAAGAACATAAAATTCAATAAATAAAGGAAACCCACAAAATGCTAAAAAAAAAATCGCTCCTTTGGACGTAATTTAAAATCTGAAAGCTTTTAGATTTTTTTTTTTTTTTTTTTTTTTTTTTTCAATTTTCTATTAATTTTTTATTTTATATGTTTTTTATTATTATAGAGACATTATTTAATGTGTGTTAACTTTGTGGTAATTTTTCTTTTTTTCCAGAGTCAATGATATCATCGTCAAAGTGAATGACACAAATGTGGTGGATGTTCCTCATTGCGTCGCGGTGGATGCCTTAAAAAGAGCTGGGAACAACGTTAGACTGGTAAATATTATATTGAACTTCCCAGTAATTTATTTTAAACCCGAAAATGAAGAGATGATATGTTTTATGTACATTAAACAAATAAACGTCTTTGCTCTTCAATATGGTGTCCAACTTTAAAATTAAATAATATTGGTCAAATTTTCTTCTACGAGACACATATTATTTAATATTTTATTTTTACCTTTTTGTACGAAGTAAAGGAAGCATTGTTATCACGAAAAATTCCGGGTATCATATTTCAACGGAAATATCCATTTTTACCGCTATCGAATTCAATTAAACGATGTTTTTGCGTGACTTCTGTACTAAGGACAGAATAAAGGACTTTTTTCCACCAAACAAATTATGAAATTGCCTTATAATGTACTCAGAAAAGATTATTTCGTGGCGTCTGTACGTACATGCGTATGTATCTCGCATAACTGAAAAAGGAATAGCCTTAGAACGTTGAAAATTTATATATATGACTGCTTAACATGTAGTTGTGCACTTCCCTTTTAGGTTGCCATTGACCGCACCAAAAGTACACATATATATATATATGTAAAGAAACTGTGGTTGGATGACATGACATGAAAGATTTGATTATGAATGCGGCACAAACTTGCATTAAAATTTTCGGTGAAACAGGACTTTTCTCACAATTCACTGTGAACACAGAATAACAAACCCATGTAGATTTCTTCATAATTAGAACTGGTCGAAGAATGTAATGACACACAGTTTCGTAGATACTTGAAGCTCAGAGCGTCCATCCATTCTGAAGAATAAGTAATCGAGCCGGATTAAATTCAGTTTATTTATTTTAATTCACTTGTGGCTGGAATTCACTTGGCACTCTACTCGTGTGCCTATTAAAGAACATTTTCAATTTTGATATTATTCCCATAAAAACGAAAGTAGCAGCACACACATAATTGCAAAAAGACGTCTGGCCAAGAGGAAAGCACAAGCAAAAGCGACGCATTATTTCATAGAAAGAAGGGAGGGAGTCAGATTTTAGTTTTGGTTTCCAATTTGGTGATTGGTCAAGAGGCCTCTGCATTAAGGGCTGCGTAAGATTGCATGATTAATTTGAATGACGCAGTTTAGACAACGCTATTTTTAGGACAGATAGATGAAGTCCCCCCCCCTCAAAAAAATATATAGAAAATAAAAGAGGTTATAGTGAATTAAATTTAGAAGTTTGCTTTGATATTTTTTATCTTACACATATATGTACAAAACAATGTTTTTAAGATGAAATATGATGCCTGAAACTTTTCGCGATTACAGTACTTCCTTTTTACTTCGTATAAGGAAGCAAAAAAGGAAAGGAAAATAGGTTGCTATAAATTAAGAAATTCGCCAAGTGAATTATTTCTTGGTGCAGACTGAAAAAAAAATTCTCTAAGATATAAATTTGATCTGTGAGATCGCATAAATTAACGAGTATTAGAGAAAAAACTTAAACGGCATTCTGGGGTATTTTAATTTTTGAATTTAATAGTTGAAATTACTTTGTTTTCTGCGTACCTCTATATTTCTCTTGTGTGCCACCAGTGGTACGGTTAAGAATCGCTGACCTAATGTATTGCAATAAACTTAAATGATTCTTCGTTTTGTCTGCCGCAGCTCGTGAAGAGGATTCGTGTCCCACAGCCGCAGCGGATTCTGGAAATAGAGCTTCTGAAGGGGAACAAAGGACTTGGCTTCAGCATCGCAGGAGGAGTGGGTAATCAACACGTACCTGGAGATGATGGCATCTACATTACGAAAGTGATGGAAGGTGGCGCAGCCTACGTCGACGGCAGGTTGCAAGTGGGCGACAAACTCCTGGCAGTAAGTTGTACGATACTGACATTCCTTGCTGTTCCTATCTCTCGGTTTGCATATTTTACAGACGCTTCCTCGAAGATTCCGGCAACAAAGATGACTCAGAGTACATGGTAATATATTTCTTGTCACAGAATGGATTAAGAAGTCAGGTAATGTATTGTGGTATTGTCAACACAACAACTATTGTCTTTAAGCCGTAACATAGAAAGTACACTGCGCCAAAAAAAAAAAAAAAAAAAGTGACAGTTCTACAGCGAGCAATGGCAACGGTTATGTGACAGCGAACAATGGCAACGGTTATGTGACAGCGAACAGTGGCAACGTTGTACAGAAAAAGCATTTTTATGTCCAGCGCGCGAGACTGTGTATCAGAAATTCTAAAAATACGCTCGTTTTAAAATTAATTTGCGATTTTGCTCTTGAACGGAATTTTATGGTTTTAGTGCGAAGAACATGATATTTAATAAATAAAGGAAACACACAAAATGTTAAAAAAATGCTCCTTTGGATGTAATTTAAAATCTGAAAACTTTCAGAATTTTTTTTCTTTTTAATTCTTTCTTGATTAGTAGATGTTGCTACGCTCGTTTTACTCTTGACCCTGTCCATTTATATATATCAAAATAGACCATTTGGCCTATTTTGTTTACTCAGAACACGTTGTTTCGCTATGAATACACTTTTTCCTTCTGAAAAACGATTTATGTCAACCGGTTCAGAAATTCATAGGCGTTTTGTATGAAATCTATGCCAATTTATTTTACCTTCTAAGAATTGATGTGCTTTATGTAATTCTGCAGAGATTTTTATCACTACTAGGTGTGACGCTGTTTATGTTTAATAAAAGCAAAATAAAAAACGACACATTAGTAAACATACTATTTCTTTCTACATTCGTTTTGAAATTTAATGAAGAAACCAGTTAAATTTAAATGTTTATTTGTGCTATTGATGTTTATTTTTCCAATAGTGGGCTCTAGTCTAAGACGGCATTGGCTACTCCTAAGGCCAGAAGTGGTGGCCATTTTACTGTGGAGGCACCTAAATAGGCAGCCACCGTTACCTCCTATGAAGGAATAGACAATTTAACATCCATGCCTTCTCCAGAATTCAAATCCGGAGCCCTCGTATCGCAGTCAGGTTCTTCTATTCCCCATTCTATTGTGCCGATTGACGAAATTCAACTTGCTTGTTTCATGTCTCGAAAGCGCGACTTAAGATGTGTATAAGATGTGTACATGTAGCATTGTTCTAATATAGGTATTTTGACACAAAATCCGACTTTTTCTAAAATGACAAGCCAATGTTTATCCATATTCTATTTTGTATTGTGTTTCATACTTACTTCTGTAAGCCCCATGTGATACTACGTGGTACATGGGGAACTTATTGTGTTTCTTTAATTGAAAAAAAAAATGTTTATCCATATTTCGATTCTACGACTCAAATTATGCCAGACTGCCAAGTTTTTTAAAAACGAGTAGTTTTTAAAAAAATTAGCTGTGAAACTTTTAGCTCCTCGGTGTTAATAGAATTTTATATACGTATATTTATTAATCTCTCTTTTTTTATTAAACTTACTCGATTCCTTCTTCCAGAATTCGAAATTTAGGCTTAATCCAAATATAATTCGCGCATTTTTTATGATTTATTTTTAAAATTTGTAATTTTAAATATTTTTATGAATTTTTCGAAAATATTTTTGTATTATAAGCTGTAAAGTCTTAAACATCATATTAAAGTAGATGTATTTCTAGGAATACCTGCAAACAATTAGAGCATTTTGTTCAACATTTCTTACGATACATGTGAATTTACATATTGGCACAATCTAAAATTTAGCATATTTTATATAAGCGATAAAAACGCCAAATATAGTTTGCGCACTGTAATAAAATTATTTGAAATGATATACGATGACGTGTTTTCCACTCGTTTACAATGAAAAAAAAAAAAGAAAAGAAAATAGTTCGCTATAAATTAAGAAGTTCGCCAAGTGAATTGCTCTTGAAGCAAACTGAAAAAAAAAATTGCGCCAAGATAAATATATGAATTTCTCCGTAAATCTCACACCAAATTTTACCAAATTTAATATTTAGGCATAATTTGAGTCGTAGAATCGAAATATGGAAAAACTCGCCATATCATTTCAGAAGAAGTCGACTTTGTGTCAAAATATCTATGTTATAACAATGCTATATATAAATCTAATATATATATACTAAGTCGCGCTTTCGAGACATGAAAACCGCAAGTTGAATTTCGTCAATGGGCCCAGTAGAAAGGGAGATTAAAAAAAAAAAAAAATGTTCTTTCCCCCCCCCCCCCGCTGTGTACATTTCTTTCTCTGTGATAAATGTATATTTATACCAGATTGACGTGTTATACATTTTTGCCACAAATACATAAGTATATATTAAGGGGTCTAGGACTTTTCGCCGTCGCCTTTTACAGTGGCCGTTTTGGCGTCAAGACAAATCTTTCTTTACATGACTGTATTTTAGCTTGCCGTATTATACTCGTATTAAATTTATTTAGTTTAATAATTCTGTTTACCTTGGTAAGGTTGCTTTTAATATGTATAGTTATTGACAAGTATGATGTATAAAGAAATTACATATAGTTATTTGAAAATTTTGTCAGTATCAAAGAGAACTAAGGCTAAACTTCTGATATAACAGAACTTATATTATCGATTTCAAAATTATGCGGGTACAATATTTACATGATTCGTCAAAATTTCTTGGAATTTTAATCGAGTCGTTCAAAGAAATCACTCATCCAAGCAGGAAATTCACATTTTTATCAAATCTGAATGCAAAACGGAATTACTTTGGAATCTTGTCAGCACTTTACTCTTTTAAAATTAATATGTCCTGTGTAACGATGTATTTGTATAAAACTGTACACAAAAACATTTCATATATTATTTTGTATAAAATGTTCATTAAATTAAATTAAATTGTTAAACTAAACAGAGTTATTAATTTAAATCAACTGGATATAATACGGCAAGATATAATACAGTCGTGTAAAGAAAAATATGTCTTGACGGCGAAGGGACCCGAGGGCGAAATGGCCACGTAGAATAGTTCCATTACCTATATTGAGGGCCGTGCTGCCTGGGTGTACATATTTTGACAACTTACTTCGCAATGGCTCCCAGAAGTTTCATTATGCGATGCATCTTTATATCAAAAATCCGTCATAATTAGGATATATACCTCATATATAAAGGAGAAAAGAAGCGCATGCATTCTTTATGCATTCAACGCTTTTAAAACTTCAGCGCGCAATACTTGTGACAAATAATTCACTTCAGTCGGAGTTTTGTCTTCGATGTGGTTGCTCTTTAAACATTACAACGTAGTTACTTGAAGCGCCCTGAACAGAAAATGCAATAATATATTATTCCTTCCTCAGTACTTAATTTGTTCTCCCTGCTACAGTTACTCTCACGTACGTTACTTAATCGTTTTGTCTTCTCCACCCTCGAATCTTGACAGCAATTTCTGACAAATGCAAGTTTTAATATATCAGTTATGTGTTCCCAGGAATCCTCGCGGCCCCCAACTTTAGGCATGTTAATTGAACAGGGAAGACCCGCCGTAAGCTAGATGCGATACATTAGCGAAGAATATGATATTGAATGTAGATGAGGATCCATTTATTATAACTCTGTTCCTGCCATTGAAATATTTGTTATGGTTCATTCGCGTTCATAAGCCTCCGGATGATGTTACATAAGTAATTAAAAGTGGAAACTGTGCGTTTGAAATTAGAGTTTCTGGATTTACATTAGCTTTGCAAAATGCAAAATATTTAAATGACATTAATATATTTCTAAATCTCTCTCTCTCTCTCTCTCTATATATATATATATATATAAGAATAATGTCTGTTTGGGTGTTTGTTTGTTCGCTATTAACTCTGTCACTACTAAAGCTATCGTCACCAAACTTACTATTATTCTTTTGTGGGCCTTGGAAAAGATCGACGTAAACTATTTTTTTGAAAAAAAGTAGCTAAAATATCGGAGATATGAGTTAAGAACCCTGAAAACGCTAATTTTCGCCCTCATTTTCCCGAGTGGCAACAGTTTCGCACGCTGGAGATAAAAATCTTTCTTTCTTTCGAGAAGTGTTGCCACTGCTCGCTTTCAAATCCTAGAGTTTGTTGATAAGTAATTTATAAATTTCATAATGAAATAAAAATAGCATTGCCAAATATTAAATACATTATTCAGATTCCAGAATTTCGTGGGAAGCCATTTAGACTATTCCCATCTTCGTACGACTTTAATTAGCCGAAATACTATTTAAAAACTCGGAAAGCGCTAATTTTCGCTCTCATGTTTTCGAGCGGCAACAGTCTGGCTCGTTGGAAATAAAAATTCTGCTTTATTTAGAGAAGTGTTGCCACTGCTCCCTTTCAAATCGTAGAGTTTTTTAATCAAAATTTTTTAATTTTACAAAACCTATATATGTAAAGAAGAATTTCTGTTTGTGTGTTTGTTCGCGTTATTGATTTCTGATGACTTTTTTGCCACATTTAATCGACAAAAATTGAATTTAGGTAAAATGTTAGATGGAACTTTTACGACCATTTGATTAGAAAGACGAAAACTATTCAAAACTGTGTGCCATTGTTGCTGATATAATGAGAGAAAATGAGTTTATTTCTCTCTATCAAAATTTTTATGTCTCTTCCATATCACATTACACTGAAAAATGTATGACTATGAATCGTATTTTCTGCATCATTATTAGAGAAGGCTTATGGAGTCATTTTTCAGATTTATTCTATTTTAAGATTGATTAGCTTTAGATTTCTTCTATTTCACATATGTTCTATCTTACTTGTTCTAATTCTATTTATCTTTCTTCTATTTTAGTTATATTTTTATGTAACTTCGAAAATTTATTTTAATCTGTGCTCATTAAATTGAAGTATTTTTTAATCCATTTTTTAATAGGTAGGTGATGTCAATTTGGAGCACGTGACCCACGAGGAGGCTGTGGCGACGCTGAAAGCCACTTCAGATCGCGTGGTACTGACTGTCGCCAAGTCGCGGTGTCCGCCAGAATTTTTCGCCAATCACTCCGCCTCGTCGCCCTTATCTTACATAGAGGATGCTTCTTCACCCAGTAATTTACCATAATTTTCTTTCTATAACCACAACTGTATTTAGCATCCATTTCTGTGTAGTTTTTTAAGCCCACGTCGACCTATTAAAGTTTTCTATGCTAGTCTATAACTTTTTAAAGGAGAATATACTCGTGGATTTCGTCTAGCAAAAGCTGGATTCGAGAATTAGCTACGACAGCAGCACAATCTAGCACTCTACATGAAGCTACATGCTAACAGACAAATATATATATGTATATATATGAAAATTTTGGACTATTGATAAACTTGTGCTGCTAAAATTTAGTATTTGCGGATTTTGCGAAATTTTTGCGATTTCCATCATTTCCTTGTGCTACTCCTTGCGACTTCAAAGATTTGTTTTAATGTGTCGTAAAATGCTTACATATTAAGATAATATATCAATTAAAAATAATTTACATAAAAAACCTGTTTATTTAGGCTTAAAAACGAGATGCGGGTAGGGGAAAGAGGGAAAAAGTCGGAAAGAAAGAAAAAAAACTGATTCGAGATCTCTCTCACCTCCCCCCCCTTCATCATGCGGGTTTTTTGTTTTTAAGTCAGTTCACCTTTCCAGTTCTATGATGGAAACGAATCGAACAAAAGAACTTGCAGATTGGGCACCCATACAGAAAAAGAAATGAAAGTCATTCTCCTGATTATAATATTGCTAAGAACTAAGCAATGGAAATGACTTAAAAAGGCTTTCCTAATCATAATCTGAAATAAGCCCACCAGGCTGAAGGGAAAACTCGCTGAAAAACATTCCTCAATTAAAATTTTCCCAATTAAGCAAAATAACAATGAGTTAAACAAATTAACTCCCAACTCAAAAAAATTAGTACAAAAGCGCTAACAATCTAAACGCGAGGAATCTCTTAAGAACGGATATGCACAAATTAATTTAAAAGTAGAACCTAAATTCAGTGAGAATTAATAAAAAAAGAAATGGATATATAAGCAATTGAAAATGAGCAATATAGTTTTAAATTTTTTCCATTTATATCATCAAGCTACATCATTATCAAGTTAAGATACGTAATTAAAACGAATAAGAATCGAATACAGTCTGTAGCTTACAGTAAATGTGTGATGACGTCAGAAGTCATGTGAGCATGCATAACTATGACGTCACAGAAATCACGTGATTTCTGACGTCATTTTCGATGTTTTGCTATTTTAGTTGAAAATTTTCTGGCAGCATTGGCCAGGACTCCTATTCCGAATCATACTGTTCAACAGTATTGCCAGAAAATTTTCAACTAAAGTAGCAAAAGAAGACTAACAAATTGGCAAATGACGTCAGAGATCACGTGATTTTTTGTGACTTCATAGTTACGCTTGCTCATATGACCTCTGACGTCATCACAAATTTCGGTAAGATAAAATACAGACTGCATTCGATCCTTAATCGTTTTAATTATGTATCTTAGCTTTAACGAAAATTATATTGCCGATTTTCAATTGTTTAAATATCCATTCCTTTTGTAATTAATTCTCATTTAATTTAGATTTCGGTTTTTAAATTAATTTGTAAGATACTTCTCACGTTTAGATAGTTAGTGCTTTTGCACTAAATTTTTTGAGATGGCAGTTACTTTTTTTAATCCAGTGAGTTTTCCATTCTGAGTAGTGGACTAATTTCAGATTCTGATTACTTAAGACAGCCTCGTTTCTTCTTTCACTGCTGAATTTATTTGTGTTGTTATTTGGGTAAATTCAGTTGCTTTGATTTATAAGTCATTTCTATTCCTTAGTTCTTAGCTATAATAATCAGGAGGTTGAACTTTATTCCTTTCTCTGTTTGGGTACCCAATATATGGCGCGCAAGTTCTTTTGTTCGATTTGTTATCACCATAGAACTGAGAGAAGGGACTGTCTTAAAAACAAAATTGGTAGAGCAATAAAATCATGATAATATTAAGGTACACTGCACACAAAAAATATGGGACAGTTCTATATCTCCCGTTCTACTGGGCCGATTGACAAAATACAGCTTGCGTTTTTATGTCTCGAAAGCGCGACTTAGGATATGTATTAGATTTATGTATAGCACTGTTCGTATATAGGTATTTTGACATAAAATCAGACATTTCCTGAAACTGCATGCCAATTTTTTTTCCATATTTCGGTTCAACGAGTCAAATTACGTCAAACTGTCAAGTTTTGTAAAAATCGCACGAGTAGTTATTAAAAAATTCGCTCTCAAAATTTTAGCTCCTCAATGTTAATGCAATTTCGTATGTATTCATTAATATCTCTTTTCTTATTAAACGTATTTGATTCCTTCTTGCACAGTTCGAGATTTAGGTTCGTTCCAAATAAAATTCACCCATTTTTTAAGATTTATTTTTAAAATTTGTACTTTAAAATAATTTTTCTAAATTTTTCGAAAAATATTTTGAATTATAACCTATAAAATTTTTACAATCATCTTAAAGTAGATGTATTTTAAGTTATACCTGCAAAAAATTAGAGCTTCTTATTCAAAATTTCCGAAGATATACGTGAATTTATATACTGACGCATTTGGAAATTTGGCATGAAAGCGATAAAACCTCAAATGTGGTTTAGACACTTTGCTAAAATTATTTGAAAGTAAGAACGATGTGACTTTTTTCTCGCTCATCTGCAATGTAAAAAGATAGGAAAGAGGTGGTTTTTTTTTTCCGTCTCGGCATAATGGAAGGGTAAGAAAAATAGGTTGCCATATATTTAAAAGCTCGCCAAGGGAAGTATTCTTGGCGCAAACTAAAAAAATTGCGCAAAAATATTTTTTAAATTTGTCCGTAAATTTTACACCCAAATTTGGCAAAATTTAACATCTAGGCATAATTTGAGTCGTAGAATTGAAATGTGGGAAAAAATGGTATGTTATATCAGAAAAAGTCCGATTTTGTGTCGAAATACCTGTGTTAGAACAATGCTATATATAAATCTAATATATATCCTAAGTCGCGCTTTCCAGACATGAAAAATGTAATCTGAATTTTATCAATCGGCCCAGTAGAAGGGAAAGATGGAACTGACCTTCCCCCCTCCCCGCAGTGTACATAATTCTGTGTTTTACAAAGCATTTTACGATATATTAAAAAAATCTTTGAAGTCGCAAAAAGTAGCATAAGGAAATGGTGGAGATCGCAAAAATTTCGCAACGTCGCAAATACTAAAATTTTAGTAGCACAAGTTTATCAAATGTCGCAAATTTGCGAAAAATCGCAGGATCTGGCAACACTGCTGTTCACTTCCACTCCTGTCGAATTAATTTCCACTTTTTCGTTGCCCTGCATTTGATTTGTCGTCGATGAAATTCGGTCACTGACCTATAACTGTTTTAATTCTTATTTTAAAACTTATCTCTGTTATTGAATTATTACTAAATGTTTACTTATGGATATTTTATTATTAAATGTTTACAGTTTGGTTTTGAACAAACCGAGAGTAGTTGAATTTATTAATGTTATTTAAAATCGAAACTACTTCTTCCATTTTGGCGCCATTCGAACATCGGAACATAAACACATACGGTTTAAATTTCCCTTTTGTTTTATTGTTGTTGTTACGAACCATAGCAATGCTCAGAAAACATTCATCCTGGCCAGAAGTCAAATATCCCTGTCATTGGGAAGAACTTTGAGCACCACACCGTATATGTGACAACCCGACAATACCTTTTGCCCGACAGCCCTTTTATTTTAACCTTTACTGCTTGCCAGTATAAACCAAATAGATGCATAAACCCCTGGACTGAGCGAGAACGTGACAAAATAACGTATAAAGAAAAGCATCCATATAAGCTAACTGTTATTAAAAAACTAAATGTCACAAACGTACAGTGCAAATTAAAATAAAGAACGCATTTATTATGAACACATACAGCAAACTCAAACATTTTGAACTGAGCAGTAGATTTTATTTCAGACTGTACTGTCTGGTGTGTTTTGCAATCATCCAAAGTATCCACTCTGTATATTTGGATATATATTTATTGTTACGAAACGTCCAGCTGCAGTAAGTAAGCTTCCACGCAAGACGGGTTTAGGGTTGCCATAAAATTGAAAAGGAATACAGGGTTTCCAGATTCACCCATTTGGCGACAAAATTGGCGATATGTCATAGACGGATGGAGAATCTTCTAGAACCAATTCTTACTGGTTTGAACCACAGTGTTCTCGGAGGCAGCCCAAAGGTATATAAACTCTGCCTGCACGCGGAGTATTAGTCAGTGAACAGTCACTGTCTCGTCTGACAAACCGATCGTCAGTCTAGTTTCGAGAGCGTCTCTTAGTGTATCGGGAGTTAGTGCATCGTCGAGTTTTATCTTAGAGTACGTTGAGCTCCGAGAACGACCGAACCGAGTTGGGAGCTATACCTTAGTGCTTCGCCGTTATAACCCGATAGCCTGAAGGTTCTATTGCTGATGATTTTAACACGTTTTTTGTAGTTTTTTGATGACTTTCAACGTATTTTGGAGCTGTCCTGAACAATACTGGCCAAAATATTGAGTTTCGATACTTCATCAAGTGTCGTCGTTATTCATTCCAAAGCCACGAACCCTAACGTACGGGAAAAGAAAAACGTAACAAGATATAAATTTATATATATATATATATGTAAATATACTCACTCTATTACTCGGCTTCTTGAGCTGAATTTTTAGTCTTATATGTAGGTAAATTGTGCATTTTTTGCTTTAAAAAATGATTGAAATATGGCTTGAACTATTTTGTTCTTATCTTCTGGTTAAGGTTTTTATGCCTTTAGTTAACCAGCATGCAATGTTTGTAGAATTATCAACAATTTAAAAGTTGTTCAAGTGCGGCGAATCTTAATTATTTTTTACCATAGCAGCCACATTTATTTACCTTTGAAACTTGGTAAAATAGTGAATGACGTTTTCTGCACTTTCAGAGTCTTTTTGCCCAGTGGGAAACTTTCAATTTTGTGCACCGAAAAATCTGCGTTCTTGCCCGCTGGCCGAATTGCTTGTTTTTGAGAA